GTCTAGCTTTGGCGCCCGTGATTTTAACAGTATTCAAGTTGTAGGCAGTGGGATGTCTGCGGAAATATTTCTTGGCTTTCTTCCCATTTTTTCTAGCTTGTTTACAATCATTATCAAACCATGGTTTACATAAATGAGGGTTTGCAAATGACGCAGGAATGCTTTGGTCTCCAATAGCATTTAACTGATCTGAAAAAAAGATGTATACGATCAGGAATATTCCTGAAACTGTCACGTTTTAGTTTTTTTGTACATAGTGTTTGGAATAAAGTACAGTTGGCCTTTGTAAAGTTCCGCCTTGTGAAAGGTAGTTCGTCAGACGGATTTATAGTTGTAAGTACTGTTTGAAAATGGTCACTTCCACAAATGTTATCATGGACCGACCATTAAAATTCGTTTAAAATATTTGCATCTGTCAGTGAAAGGTCAAGGGCAAAGTATGTGTTAGTGGCAGGATGATGATAGGTATTAGAACCATTATTAAAGATGCATATGAATAAATCATTACTTGAGATAAAATCTTCAAGGACTTTTCCCTTAGTATTTGTATCAGTACTCCCCCATAGGGGATTATGACAATTTAAATCGCCAATGATGATATAGGGTTTCGATAGCTGATCGTACAAAGTCTGAACAGCTGATTGACAGATAGTTATGGAAGGTGAAAGTTACAGTGAACACAGTGTAAACACTATGTTCAAAGTAACACGGACAGCAACAACTTGTCGAGCAGTGTTAAGTGTAACAGGGCTATGGATTATGCTCAGTAACTAGTTTTCGAGTCTGAGACTCAACATGTTTGACAAGTTTTGGTTTTAAAGGTGTTACAGACGAAGGTGGCATAGCTGGTTTTTTAATTGCAGCAGCTGGAAGTGGTTGAACAAACTTGACCCATATCAGATCAGTCTGGCAGTCGATAGAGGCAGTAGTGACAGGATGACGAGAGACTGCAGCAGAACAGGTGATGGTGGAAGTGCTTGTAGTGAACCCTTAAACCCTCTTCTTGGCTTCGTGGTACGAGACATTTTGTTCGGTCTTGACTCTCTTGATTGGACTCGCGTTTCCACACAGGGCAGGATTTTGAAAAAAGCCATATAGTTCCCACTGTAGTTTGAATACTAAACATCCTTCCTGCAGTCAGTTGCCTCGTGCTTGTCATTGCAGCGGTAACACACAGAGGAGGCATGGCAGGACTTAGATCCATGTCTTAACGCTTGGCAAGTGTAGCACCGGAGTTGATTGGGCATATACACATCCACTCGGATGTTACAGTAACCAGCTTTAATAGATCGAGGTAAAGTCGTACGGGCAAAGGTGAAGAGGTACGTGTTGGTTGGTTCAACCACACCATCCTTCTTGACCGACTGTTGTTCAAGTCCCTTGACTATATCGTCTTCGGGCATGCCGGACAGGCAGTGAGCTCTGTCACGGACAATGCCCTAACACGAGTTCAGTGACTTGCGCAGTGAGACAACAACCTTGATAATGTCAAACTCATTTAATTTGAGAAGATTGACAGATTGTTGTCTCCGTGCACATTCTACAAGGAGAGAGCCAGAACGAAAATTATTCTGCACCCCTTTTCCCTACCCACCATGGAGCTTTGTGAGGTCGTCCGTTGTCTTGATGGAAATAGACGTTGGCTTGTTGCATAATGGGAAGGACGCGTGGCCGAAGAATCTCATCCGTGTAACGTTGGGTCGTTAAATTCGATTGATATAGATGATCTCTGCAATAAAAAGAAACGCAATCGTGATTTAGATGCATATTATAAATGTCATATATATAATCAACAGATGGTAATCGAGTGTTAAAAATGGGCACACATCATTGCCATTGACCCAGGTCTGTTGATTTCCTTTTTTTGCTGAGTAGTTCTTTATTTATCGATATTGAACATTTAACCTTATCAGTAATGGAAACAAAACAAAAAGTTTGCTGACCACATGACAGCATGTTGCCATTTGGTCTAAAATTTAAGATCACTTGTCCAAAGTTATGTTGAGTATCTATTGTTTTCAAATGTGTTCCAGGGAATCGTTTGTGGACGGATAAAACATTGAAAGTATAAACTGTGCCAGTGTCGTGCCCATCGGTACGTACAGATACACTTGGCACACTGACACAAAGAAATATATACGTCATGTGACATCATTTTACTTTACACTGTACACTTCTCTTTGAGAAACGTATACATGTCAGCAAATGTTAAGCACCACCAAGTTAAAACAATCCTATTTGTTTCAGGAACAGGTTTCACAGTCGTCTAAGGCGCCGCAATTCGCTGTGCAGAATTTCATTCCTAATTCGCCAGATTCGCATCGATAGGTGCGGAAATATGTACGGTATGGTACTTGGTAGCTTGATACTGTGGCATGAATCGTGTGATTATAAAGTTGTGAATGATTTTTGATACAAAAAACAACCGTGGATCCTGATCGCCCGCGTGTAACATCTACATGTGCAGAATACGCAGGTCTCGTTATAATTGAGGCCTGATATATAAAGTGTACAACATTCCAGTAGAAGGCATGGTTCCTATAGCAGTGACTGGAAGATGTTCAGAAGAATTTCATGAACAACATCCATCTAAGCACATCTCACCGCTAGGGTACAATACTTTTGCTATGAAGGCTTTTTTCAATTGGCTTCTCACATGTCTAATTAAATAAAGGTTACGTCCCGGGAGAGCCACATCCCCTAATTAGGAAAACTCCTGGTGGCGCAGGTGCATAATCACATTTCATTGACACAGGATGTGGTTTCCCAGGTATCAGGCAAATTAAACGAGAACAAAGGAGTGCCGGTCGTCTACTTCATTACCGTAATTAACATTGTATAAAATATAGCAATTTACATGCATTTTGAGGTGGTTCATGTACAACGTAAATTGTAATTATTCATATCAATCTTCAGTGGGTTTATTGGTCAGACTGGAGAAATTCGAACACTTGGAGGTACAGAAGGATGGCCGTCCAATCTCAGGAGACTGAATTCTGTGTTCGACTGCTCTCACTCTGGAATAGCTGCACCACCTCGTAAATATTAGGGCGGCTCTTCTCGGCTAGCTGGTTGATCTTGTAGTGCCTTCTTCATTTTATGTATTTGTACTAATGTATTTCTGTATGCCTCGTTAATATCACAAAACGGTACGCATTCACGGCAAATCCATCGGTCGTGGTACCAACAGCAGAATCCCTCGAATTATGTGTTTGGTGTTCCCGGGACTATCTACTATTGAAACGTGGCGTTCCCAGACCGACACCTAAGATAATATTAACATTTGCTCTTCCTATCAGTGCGAATCTATCCTAAAGAAGGTTTGGCTATCCCCACTAAATTTGGTTGGAAATTAAAGGAAGAAGAATCGGTATCCTTTTAAATATTATTGGAACACAAACTAAACAATACGAAAACTGAGCGAGTACTAATCTGCATTATTACGTATCATACAAGTGGATGTTTTACGACACAGTGTAAACGTGAGACCATCGTTCACTTGTCGACATTCCGGTCAAGACGAGTGCGCCTAGTATGATCTCGTTTGGCCTTTTGGGCGTGATTATCGAATACATTTCAGCATCACACGTTTTAAGAAAGTAAATTTATCACAGCACCGTTCTCTTTTACCCCATGTCTTTTGTTGCTTCTACCTGCATGCGACCCGTTATTGATTATACGTGTGGGTTGTCAGTGTTTCATCTGACCTCTAACTGTATCTGCAAATATGTCGAAGGCTCTATCAATATCATGTTGGATTTAGCTGAAGTGTCTAACATATTTATTGCATCACTTAAAATTTCTGAACATGTAACTGACGACAAAAAGTAATTTGGTACATTTGCAGAGTCACCGCACAGCTACATCCTCACTGTTGTCACAAGGTAAGGGAGTTTCAGTACAGACGAGCGTAAATGTATTCCCCAGGTAAGTATAAAGTGGTTGTGTTTCATATAGCCTTTGAGCTGCTTATTACAACACAATCAGTCAAATACACCAACGCGTATAACTCGGAAATCACATAAAAACACCATAATTTTTTTATAAGAGCACAAACAGTAATCGACTACAGATGATCTCCTTGGTGAACATATTGTATGTTTACAATTTTGATTCGCTTTAGTTGATTCTTTATCACCTCCGGACTCCGGGATACTACTTGATGATATTAAGCTGCCTGTTGTCAATGGAGGTTGCTGCCTATGTATATGATCGCGATCTCTTCAGATTAGCAACGTCTTTCTCTACAGTGAATTTTATACGAGAATATACTGGTTGATTGTTTGTTTACATCGTCCAAACCAGAGATATACTCGACAACAAAAGTTCCTGTGACACCAATATTGTGTTTAATAAGTGTATTTTTCAAACAAGTAAAGTTTGGTTTTCAATATTGTAGGACATGTATTGAATCAAGTCACAAAAACGCAACTGCTACAGAAAAGCATGCATTCCATGCACAAGTTGACTTTTATGCAAGCCACATGCAGTTCACTACCCAAGAATGGGTATAAAAAACATGTGCCTTAACGGGATTCCATATCCATTGTTTAGCATCGTGCTGATGCTCAGAAAAACACTGACAACCACTCAGAAAAACAACACAATTACGCAATTATTCAACATTACGAAATGCCACGCCTGTCCGAAAATGTGCGTCTGCGAACCATTGGTATGCTTGAAGCAGGATCGACTCAACGGGATGTTGCAAGACAATTTAACGCCCACAGAAACACCATTTGGTGTTTATGGCAACGTTGGCAACAGACGAATGCAGTCAGAGACCATTCTCGGAGTGGCAGGCCACGCGTAACCAATAAACGACAAGACAACTGGATTCGAACAACACACCTACGAAATCGATTCCAGCTAGCAACAGTGACTGCAAGGTGCAGACAGCGTCTACCCTAGACGGCCATGCAGTGGGCACAAGCTCTACACTATTCACTGACGAGTCTCGTTTTCGCCTCAGCCACAGCGATGGACGGATTCGAGTGTACCGACGTCGAGGAACCCGAAATTGTTTCAGATTTGGTTAAAAACATAACTTTGCGTTAAATCTTATTCAATGACACAGGAATTTTTGTTGTTCAGTATATTTTCGCCACGCACTTTTTCAGTGTCACTGATTAGCACTTAATGCATATGTTCTCTTAATCTTAACTCAAAGATATTTTCAAATCTCTTCTCAAAATACTTTGCTTCTCTGTCGCCCTAAGGACACCATAAATAGTCTTAGTGCGCTAGTGAGCAATGCATGTTCTCATAAGCCTCGTTATCAATATAGATTTACCCATGTGCACATGTACAAGCACGGACACGTTATGATGTGTCCAACAATAGTATATGATGAAACCTGAGCTAAGTCGTTCGAACTTTTCGCATAATATGTGATATAAGAGTCTCTCCCAGTAACACAATGAGAGCAAGACCGAGGCCGACGGCACAAGATGCAAAGGCGCTATAGTAGTCCTGTATATATAGTGCAGACACGCCAACATTCAAAGACTCCTCGTAGCAGGACTCCTGGCTTGGAACCCATGTCCCATACCATTTAGGACTCAGTCCCCTGTCCATCGCAGTTAAAATCCTGAAAGCAAAAGGGTATGTTTGTGGTTATACATAAAACGGTAAAGTGTTTCCTTTGCGTTGTTTTTACTCATTTACTCCATCTGGTATTGATAAAAGCTTCTTTACCAACAGCCACGTCAAATATTAATCATCAAAAGTGCAATTAGTGAAGAACAACCTATGCAATACGGAAATAATAAAAACATATATAAGAACGTCTTGGCTGAAAATGGATGTACTGTGTTTCATATCCATATTCTTTAAAACTGAAACACTTCACAGTCGATAGAAAGTCATCGAGAACAGATGGTCTGGCTCGCTGACTTGGTTGATGCATGTCATCGTACCCCAAATGTGTGCATCGATGCATATGATGTCAGTCACTGGATTTTCTGATCCAAACTCGATTATTTACAGGACGTCGTTATATAGCTGGAATATTCCTGCGGGCAGTGAATTCTCACTCAATAGAAAGCTTTTAAGGGGAAAACCTGTTACATGGATACTTTCTTTTGGTCCCGGCATTCTCAATGTATACTTGTTCATATTAAATATCTGATAAGTAGAATCAATTAAGTAAAAAAGTGCTAATTGCCCTGTTAATCTCTTATCTAGAATGAGTTGACATTGAATTTATAATTATTTGTTGTTAGCATAACAAGTTAATAAACATTAAAGGTGTGTTCTGAAGAAATTATGTTTAAACATATTTAATGTTTATTCAGGATTAAATTTACACACGAAATATAGATTGTAAACCTTATGACTAATATTTAGAGTTTTTGTTGTCTTTCATATCAATGTACGCGAGTGTAACAATGCACACAGAACATTAGGAAGATTATTCAATAATGGCAAGCAAGTCGTAGTTGGCTAAATAAAAAATCTGAAAAGTAGATATTTTTTCCAGGTCTCTCAATTTTCTACTTATCGGAAAGGGGGCACGGGTGGCCCAGTCGTCTAAGACGCCGCGATTCGCTGCGCACAGTAGCGTCCCTTTGGCACGCTAGGAACCTATGATTGTGGATTCGAATCCCGGTTCGCCCCGATTATGTTTGTAGGTTTGTCAGCACCATACCCATGCTCGTGGGTTTCACCGAAGTGGTAAACGTCTGAGACCTGCATCACTTCGGGCTTTCCTCCAACATTAAACTGACACGCCATGACATAACTGGAATAATGTTAAAAGCGGCGTTAAACCCAACTCACTAATTTCACTGTAGTATAAAGCTACTCTGTAACATCACGTTCACACAAACTGTCACACATCGGACATTGTAGAGCGTTAGTTTCTGATACCATCGTTGCATCTTACATTTTAAAAATGACAGACTGCGGTATCGCGTTCCAATCAAAAATGATAGATCTTTACAGAATCTTAAGAACATGTGGTACAGGGTGCCATATATAAGTACGTCGCCCATGAACATGCTAGAGATGAGTCGGGAAAGCAAATAGGCCACTTCCTCCAACCTATGTCATATTACTCATTTAAGGCTTAGACCAAAGTTCCACTGTACGCACGAGCATTTTTGCGAGAAATATTGAGACGTCTGTCACGCCCCTGTAGGGACGGCCCGCGGATAGTTGACTATCACTCATTTGGGGTATCCCAATATTTGTTTTGTTTGTTTGTTGTTTAACGCCGCACTCAGCAATATTCCAGACAATCAAGTGATTGACATCATGAGGATCGATCAACGCAATTGGGATACGATGACATGTATCAAACCAAGTCAGCGAGCCCGACAAGCGTAGTCGCCTTTTACGTCAAGCATGGGTCGCTGAAGACCTGTTCTAGGCCGGATCTTCACGGGTTCCAATATTTGTAGCATGATTTGCAAAACTTAAAAATAAATGCATTGTTCCATGTTCGATTCGAAAGAATGTAACCATACTTCGAGTTACATGTGCAGATAACGACAATTATTTGTGTTCGGAAGTTACGTTTTGTGACCATGAACACACATCTTAAAATTTAATAGATTTGGTCTTTGTCTACCTGCTGTTTCAGTTGGAGAGTTTGGTTAAACGACGTGTCATTTATCCTTGTTCTCATATTGTTTCCCTTCATAATGTAAAGTCATATGGTGTAAGGTGACTGGGGTTTGTTTATTTTCAACTCTACCATAGTTCAATATTTGCCTTGACTATATATCCTGATCCAGACTGAATAGACTTTTGTGTATTATATTTGGAGTTCATAATTCAGATCGTTATAATTTATCGATGAACACCTTGTTAGGCATTTCTGTCTTGGTTTCTTATGGAAATGGTTTTGTCGCTTTTATTTACATGCAGTAAACGCATGGCAGGAGTACTATTGTGTGGCGACTGTCAACAAACTCATACTTTTTGACACAGATTGTTGGAATTGCGAGTGCTGTCGATAAGACAGGACATGCTTACCCTTTTTCACGAACACCTGGTGTCATCACTGCATTTCAGTGATCTGATTTGCCTTTGTCACACTTTATTCATAGATGCAAATTTGAAACAGATAGGACTGTTTCACTGGTCTCTTGTATTTCTAGTTCAGGTAGGTAAGTCAGTGGAAGGGAATATTGGCTATTTGAACCGTTTTTTAATATCTCAGATCATCGATATACCTGAAGCTTTTTAATAAGTTGAACTTGGCCAAAGTTGGCCAAATTCTCTCGTTTCGTATGCGTAGAGTAACAGATCAGCAAGAGAACAAAAGGTGCCCATGGAGATGCATGCTTCTTACCTAAATGAGCTACCCCAAAATGTGCATAAATGTTATCCATGAGAAAATCAAGCATTTCACACATTGTTTTCTCATGTGAGTGAGTGAGTAAGTATGGCTTTACGCCGTTTTTAGCAATACTCCAGCAATTTCAAGGCGGGGGACACCAGAAATAGGCTTCACACTGTGTACTCATGTGGGGAATGACATCTGGACCTTTAGCGTGAAGGGCGAATACTTTAACCACAAGGCTACCCGACTGCCCCATATAACCATATAAAATTCACTATTCATAATGATACATGATAAACAAGGGCTATGTACACCAGCAACCAAAGTTAGGCCACCATACTAGGGACCACGGGGACACACAGTACCTTTGCTACCTGCATGGTACCAGCAGGATTTACACGATCCCTTTTATCACTGTTGATAGTTGATCGGGTTTAGCCGGAGATTAACACAAACAAATATTCTACGATGACATCACTGGTAGACATAGAAATACCTTGAATGACGTGGGCTTACACTCTCAGGGGCACAATCATTTTACGTTACTTTAACCTCCATTAAGGACACAGCCAGTAACAATCTCAGTTAATTCTCATATACTACCAATTTATAAAATACATAACATTCTATATTAAAATGTATCTGATAATTCTATTTCTTTAAAAAAACGATAATTAAATGATCACATATTTGATGTAAAAAAATTCTTTATGAATGAAACTTTGAAATGCTTGACCGTGTTTCTTCAATCACAAGGGAACAGAATGGAGGATATCGATCCTCACCTTTCAATAAATATTCATAAGTATATCTGCTATGGCCAATACGATATCGTCGTAAAATGATTTCTTCAAATCTGTACTGACAAACCAAGTAGGTGTAACCGATGGCTGGTTTGATTTCATGTAACCTATTTATCCCTTTTTGGGTGTCCTACTTATTTGGCATAATATTTCGGTTGTAACCTCAAATAACAGAATTGTAATCACTGTATGTGATCAGATGTTGTGTTACAGATTTGCTAAGTACTGCTTTTGCAGCAGCAGCAGCCATTTTGTTACCTGTTGTGCCCTCATGACTAGGCAACAAATGACGAGATCCTATTGGTCAGTAGCAAGATTATTGTATAGTTAAAATTTATCTAAAATAACTGGATGAGTCGAAGAAACATTAGTCTGTGTCTGAACACAAGAAAGAGAATCAGACACATGATAAACTGTTTACATGCAGACTGTCATTGAACATATACCAAGGCTGTAAGGATATCATTTGCCTCAGCAGTCAAATTGGAGCTATTAGCTGGTATTCCAGGTGAAATAATTTTTCATCCAACGACAGTGGCACTTGCTACTTTGCTACCGTCCTTGAACCAATCAGGAAAGATTGAACGGTGAGTGTCGTATTTATTCCGCAGTTGTGCATATTCCTGCCGATATACTTGTTGATTTGTGTCAGTGTTAGGGAAATGTCTACTGGCCTCACCAACTGCCAGGAAGGAGTCGACAAAAGCCGGTATGGAAAGAAAAGAACTAGGCTGGAATTTCAGGGCTCGATCGTAGCCCGACCAGTGGCGATAACGAGTTATGGAAATCCTATTGATTGATCAGATTCCGCTTCTCATATCACCTGTATTTGGCGGCGCCCAGTCAAGACGATCTCATCGATAATCAAAATGTTTATTATGAGAAAACGAGTCTCACTTCGCGAAATACATCAAATTAGATAAGATTTCGGAAATATCTGTTGACGCCGTGTTTGCCTCACACATGTTTTGCAAAACATGCAATCAACCGAAATCTGCACGGTAGTTAACGGACAGGATGTCGAATTCGTTACGCGATTTTGATTGGATTATGCATAGACTCGTTAGTCCAGCCAAACTATAACTCCATAATGCCAGCCTAGTTCCGCAAGAGTGGAACCTGGACTGTTATAAACAGTTAACTCCCTTGCCTCAAGAATTGCAGTAATATGGGATTTGATCCGAATTCCATGTGGAGGAACCAGCTTTGGTTTCTTCTGAAACATTTTTTTCATAGAGGGGATTAAAAACGCAGCCATAAGCAAGAGTGGAGGGATTGGAACGTGATTGATTAATATGGTGAAGAGACAATTTAGTATGGCGTCAACAGGAGATGTTTAAGGCAGTCAATGATGTTCAAGGATGTTGGGGTTGTCAAAGGTTGTCAGGAGGTGTTCAAAAGTCACCAAAGACAGGAAATAGTCTCAGTCCCTGATGGTGTTTTTTTTTCAAATTACTCTTGCAAGCTACAACAAACAAAATGACGCCACAGTCCAAT